GTGAGTGAGGCACAGTGTGAGGGCCCTCACACTGTGCCTCACTCACTGGGCCCTCACACTGTGCCTCACTCACTCACTAACACTGGGCCCTCGCACTGTGCCTCACTCACTGGGCCCTCACACAGTGCCTCACTCACACACTAACACTGTACCCACAGTCACCCAGAGGAATGATGATTGATTTTGTCGTTGCTGTTGTTTGGTGGAACTCCTGCATTTGCCGAACCTCTGGCTGGTGTCTGTGTGCGTCGGATGGTTTGAGTGTGGGGTGAGAGGAGGCTCTGTTTTAGCAGAGTTGTTTGTATCACTTGTACTGCCCATAGTGCTGTTTGTCCCGGGACAGTGACCTACTGGAGGTTTCTGGGATGATGTGTCAGTGAGATTGTCGGGCAATGGTCTCCGTGTTGTTGGGTTTAACGTGGTAAAGGTTGTATTTTGTGCAGTTTTCCCTGCATCGAGTTTGCATTTCTGATCTTGGGTGCTTTTGGTGGAGGCATTACAGGGCTCTGTAGTCCACCAATCGTAGGCCGAGGGTTCTACACCATGCAGCAAGGAAGGGAAGGACAGAGGCCTGGCAGGGATTGGTGTTTCTCAATGCCACGCTGCCGTTGTGGAGTTAGCCCTGTGAAGTTCTTATCTTTTAGAGGCGTTCACAGATTCTTGTGCCTCGCCCAGCAAAGAGAATACGTCTGGGTGTGAGACGTTCTCTACAGCCTCGAGGCTGATCCCACCAGCAGCTATGGCTGTGAGTTACAGCACCCTGCCTGGTTATAGTCTGGAACATAGTCTCCATCTTCGGGAAAGAAAAACACAGGGGATAAAGTGAACAGCCAAGCTCCTGCCCCCCCAGGGGGTGGGGGCGAGTCCAAAACTAGAGGGGCTGAGGTTTAAGGTGAGCGGGGAAAGATTTAAAAGGGACCTAAGGGGCAACAGAGGGTGGTGTGTATGGAATGAGCTGCCAGAGGAAGTGGTGGAGGCTGGTACAATTACAACATTTAAAAGCCATCTGGATGGGTTCATGGATAGGAAGGGTTTAGAGGGATTGTTGGCAAATGGGACTAGATTAGTTTAGGATATCCATAGAATCCCTACAGTGTAGAAACAGGCCCTTCGGCCCAACAAGTCCACACTGACCCAGAGAGCATCTCACCCAGACCCATCCCCCTATAAACCCACCTAATCTACACATCCCTGAACACTACAGACAATCTAGCATGGCCAATCCACCTAACCTACGCAACTTTGGACTGTGGGAGGAAACCGGAGCACCCAGAGGAAACCCACGCAGACACGGGGAGAATGTGCAAACTCCACACAGACAGTCACCTGAGTGTGGGATCGAACGTGGGTCCCTGGCGCTGTGAGGCAGCAGCGCTAACCACCGTGCTGCTCCTAGGTGGTCGGCATGGACGAGTTGGACCGAAGGATCTGTTTCTGTGCTGTGTGACTGTGTAAAGGGAGATTGGTGGATGTCCCAGAATACACATGGAAGGTATTGTGGAAAATCGAAAGTCACGGTGTGTGGGATAGCACTTTAGCGAGGGTAGATCAGCTCGCTGACAGGATGCATGGAGTTGGGGCAGATGTCTTTCTTAGGTGGCCATGGTGTTATGGGTGGGGTGCATGGGGATTTGTCCTGTTACTTTGACCGTTCGCAGTCGATGAGTTACCTGGATGAAGGTAGAATTGTCAAACTTGCTGCTGACAGAAAAACAATTGGAAAGTAAATTGAGAAGAGGTTGTAAGGAGGAGGTGACGAAGGTATAGATGGGTTAAGTGAACAGGCAAAGATGTAGCAAACGGAGCAGAATGTGGGAAATTTTCATTTGGCAGTAAGAATATAAAACTAAAACAGAAGTTGCTGGAAAAACTCAACAGGTCTGACAGCGTCCATGGAGAGAAATCAGAGTTAACGCTTCAGGTTGAGTGACCCTTCCCTGCTGTGCTATTGAAAAGCAGAGGGCTCTCGGTATCCTCATGTGTGAGAGCAGGCACAGTCACGAGGAAAGCAAATAGAATGTTACCTTTTATTTCAAGGAGAACTGAATATGAAAGGCAGGAGCTTCATCAGTACAGGGTGTTAGTGAGACCACATCCTGGGTATTGTGTATAGCAGCGGTCATGTTATTTAAGAAAGGAGGTGAATGCATTGGAAGCAGTTCAAAGCTAGTATTCAAGCTGAATGCCTGGAGTGGGTTAGTAGCCTTGTCAGGAATGGTTGGACAGGCTTGATGTATATCTGCTGGAGTTTAGAAGAGGGGTATTTGGTTGAAACATATAAAACCCTGAGCAATCTTGACAGGAGAGATGTGAGCAAGGTGTATTCCCTTATATGGGAATCTAGAACTGGAGGTAACTGTTTTAACAGCATGGAAGCAGGCCATTCAGCCCATCAAGACCACACCAACCCTCGGAACAGCATCCCACCCCCTCCGACCCTATCCCTGCATTTCCCATGGCCAATCCACCTACCCTGCACATCTTTGGACTGTGGGAGGAAACCGGAGGAAACCCACGCAGACACGGGGAGAATGTGCAAACTCCACACAGACAGTCACCCGAGAGTGGGATCGAACCTGGGTCCCTGCTGCCTCACAGCAGCAGTGCTAACCACTGAGCCACCATGCCATCATAGACACAGGGTAACTCATTTAAAACGGAGGTGAGAATTTATTTGTTTCCCCTCAAAAGTATGTGGATCTTTGAAACCCTCTTCATGAATAGACAGTGGAAGCAAAGTCCCTGAATATTTTTACGGTAAAGGTAGGTAGATTCTTAGTAAACAAAGGGGTGAAAGGTTATCAAGGGTATTCGCATTCAGAATTCCAGGAGTGTGACAAGGGCTGATGGGATGTTGGCCCTTATTTCAAAGTGGTTGGAGTGTAAGAGTAGGGAAATCTGACTGCAACTGTACAAGGTGCTGGGGAGACCACATCTGGAGCACTGTGAACAGTTCTGGTCCCCTTAGGTACGGAAAGATATCATTACATTGGAGGCAGTTAGAAAAGGCTCGCTAGAATGTTCCATGGGATAGTCTTATGAGCAAAGGCTAAACAGGTTGGGACTGTGTTCGCTGGAGTTTGGATAGGGATCTGACAGGGTCAATGCTGAGAGGATGTTTCCCCTCATGGGAGAGTCTAGAATCAGAGGGCACAGACTCAGAATAAAGGGGAACCAACTGAAAACTGCGATGAGGAGGAATTTCTTCTCTCAGACGGTTGAGAGTCTTTGGAACTCATTGGCACAGAGAGCTGTGTGTGAAGGTCAGAGTCCTTGAGTATGTTTCAGGCTGAGACAGATAGATTCTGGAGCAATCAGGGAATTGAGGGTTACAGGGAAAATGCATCAATGTGGATGTGAGCAATGGCAGATCAGCCATGATCCTATTGAATAGTTTGAGGGGCTGAGTGGCCTGGTGCTGATCCTATTTCTGAGGGTTTGGATCATTTGGACTATGTACAATGGGAGTGTGTGTGAAGATGTTTGGGTCATTGAGATAGTGTAGAGTGGGAGTGAACGGAAAGGAGTTTGGGACATTGAGATAGTGTAGAGTGGGAGTGAACAGAAAGATGTTTGGGACATTGAGATAGTGTAGAGTGGGAGTGAATGGGAAGGTGTTTGGGTCATTGAGATTGTGTAGAGTGGGAGTGAACAGAAAGATGTTTGGGACATTGAGATAGTGTACAGTGGGAGTGAATGGGAAGCTGTTTGGGTCATTGAGATTGTGTAGAGTGGGAGTGAACGGGAAGGTGTTTGGGTCATTGAGATAGTATAGAGTCGGAGTGAATGGAAAGGTGTTTGGGTGATTGAGATAGTGTAGAGTGGGAGTGAACGGGAAGGTGTTTGGGACATTGAGATTGT